GAGACAGGGTCTCACTATTTTGTTGAGGCTGGTCTCAAACTCACAATCCTTCTGCTTCAGCTTCCTTAGTGCTAGGATTACAGGCATGCATCACCACCTCTGGTTAAAAGGCTGTTGTTTTTCAACCCTAAGCAAGGGATGGTTGGTTGTGGAGAAATAATAAATGAAATAGTACACATGTCCCTCATTTCTGGGAAGTGGGTTTTTGGCTTTAATAAGATTCTCAGAAGGACTCAGAAGTCAAAAACCAGTTAAGAACCCTTCATTTCAATGAAAAATAATTCTGTACACAGATTTTATTTATTTTTTTTCTTGTGCTTTTAAAAATTTTTTTTTATTTTTTATTTTATTGTTTTATTATTTATATGTGCATACAAAGCTTGGGTCATTTCTCCCCCCTGCCCCCACCCCCTCCCTTACCACCCACTCCGCCCCCTCCCTCTCCCCCCCAACCCCCTCAATACCCAGCAGAAACTATTTTGCCCTTATTTCTAATTTTGTTGTAGAGAGAGTATAAGCAATAATAGGAAGGAACAAGGGTTTTTGCTGGTTGAGATAAGGATAGCTATACAGGGAGTTGACTCACATTAATTTCCTGTGTGTGTGTGTTACCTTCTAGGTTAATTCTTTTTGATCTAACCTTTTCTCTAGTTCCTGGTCCCCTTCTCCTATTGGCCTCAGTTGCTTTTAAGGTATCTGCTTTAGCTTCTCTGCGTTAAGGGCAACAAATGCTAGCTAATTTTTTAGGTGTCTTACCTATCCTCACCCCTCCCTTGTGTGCTCTTGCTTTTATCATGTGCTCAAAGTCCAATCCCCTTGTTGTGTTTGCCCTTGATCTAATGTCTGCATATGAAGGAGAACATACGATTTTTGGTCTTTTGGGCCAGGCTAACCTCACTCAGAATGATGTTCTCCAATTCCATCCATTTACCAGCGAATGATAACATTTCGTTCTTCTTCATGGCTACATAAAATTCCATTGTGTACACAAGATTTTAGAATGTCTGTGCTAATCAAGTGAAGTACGTCAATATTAAAGGATGGCGTAAGAACAGAAGAAAAAGTTAAAGGTAAATGATAGGTAGATGACATTTGTTAAGAAGGAGAAAATAAATTTGGAGATGTAGGGCAAAGACAAGTCAGAGAGAGAGAGAGCTTTCAACACATGAAAAGAAATAAAAGTCTGACCTAGACAGTGTGTCAGGCCAACTCTAAGGTGGTCTCTACACTCCCTCCCTCTGAGTGGCCATATCTTTTGTGGTCCCCCCTTGAGTATGAGCAGAACCTATGACTTGCTCCTAACTAAGGGAATATGCCAGGGTGATAGGTGTTATACCTTGGGATTATATTACTTTATATAAGACGTCATCTTGCTAGGAGACTGGTTTCTCCATGGCTTCATGAAGTAAGAGGCCATATTGTGAAAGTTCCTGTGACAAAGCACCAGGTGGCCCCTGGGAACTTCAGGAACCATGAATAGGCCCTTGGAACTGACAACTAGAAGGAAGCCGGGACTTCAGTGTGGTGGCCACAAGGAAAGGAATTCTGCCAACAACTTGAGTAAGCTCACAAGTGCATTCTTCCCCAACTAAGCCTCCAGAGAGCAATGCAGCCCAGCCAACACCATAATGGCCTGAGATCCTGTCCAGAGCATCTGGTCAACTGGGCACCTCTGCTCCATGGAAAAACTGTAAACAGTTTTGTGTTCAGCCATAAAGTTTGTGGGAATCTGTTCAATAGTAATGGGAAACCAATTTAGAGCCAGGCTTGGTGGTACATGTCTGTAATCCCAACACTCCAGAGGCTGAGGCAGGATGGTGAGTTCAAAGCCAACGAGACCATGTCTCAAAAAAGGAAAAAGAAAACTAACAAAGGTAAGAAATAGGGACCTGTGAACTATTGTATGGTGAAGCAGGAATGTAAGAAGACACTGAGCAGCGAAGAGTAGCAGGAAGGATGGTGAGTGGTTTCCTTCAAGACAGACAAAAAGCAGCACAAGTTAATGCATCTGATTGAAATATCCCAGGCATGGGTTGTGAAGCAACAAGTCTAAGTCTAAAAGTTCCTGAGACTGGGAGAGAGTTCTTTGAAGAGAACTCAGGGCTTTACAAGAGTAGAAACAACATCATCACTACTCTTGTTGCACTTGTATGTTGAAATCCCATTTCTAAGGGAAAAAAATAGCAAGCAAACTACCAAATTCTTGTTTTTCTCATTAAACTTCCATTGACTACCCAATATCCCTGACCTCCTAAAAATGATTTTTTTCTATGTAGGATGACATGGATCATTCTTTCCTAAGAAATATGTTAGCAGTCTTCAAAAAAAAAAAAAAACATAGAAAGCAAAGATAAGTCTCCCACACATGAGAGGGAGATGGAAGACAGCAGGATTTCCAACAAGTCCCTTCTGGTTGGACAGTGTTTCCCATAAAGGCACTGATAATCTAAGAATTTTACAGGGAATTTTATAGTGAAGTAGCTTCAATGGTAAGAGAACTAAAGAGGTATAGAAAAAGGAAAGTTGGAGAGGAGAATGGATTTAGGTTAGAAACTAGAATAAAGGCAAGCAAGATGAAGACCCTCAAAATAATGAAGAGAAAGGTAAAGAGAGTCATTTTTTTCCCATAAAAAATAAGAATAGTGGTTGTGCAAAACCTCATTCAATAGACAACTTGTACACGTATATTTTAAACTAAGCTTGTTTAAGGCCAAGTCTGGGCATGGTAGACATGCCTGTAACCCAGCTACGAGGGAGGTGGAAGGTAAAGGTAGGAGGACTGCAGTCTAAGTCTGGCCCTGGGCAAAAATCAGGACCCTCTCTGGAAAATAAAGCAGAAAAGGGCTGGTGTGTGGATTAACTGGTAGAGTACTTGTCTAGCAATTACAAGGCCTTGAGTTTAAATCCCAGTACCACCAAACAACAAAAATCTTAAGCATGTTTGAACTAGGTTTAAATAAAAGCATCTTCTTAGAGCTTCTGGAAAGTCCTAAGTCATTCCCATAAGAACAGTAGACCTAAAATAACTGCAACAAGTTGGGTCAGCATGTGTAAGAATCCACGCACAGGTTAAGCATCAACTGCTTCTGCTTAGTGAGTTTGCAGACAGTCCCATGAAACTGGGCCTTGTCAGAAAGTAGTTCATTAATATGGGGAAATACTCAAAAAAAAAAAAAAAAAGGAGCGAGATGGCTCAGGTTTGGACACATGGAGTCTACCATTGACCAGTGTCAAAAATGGTGAGAACTGCCCACCCAGCTCCCCAGCCCTCAGAGCCCATGTGGAACCTCCAAGAGCATCTGGACAGCTTGTTCAGGCACCTGTTCTCCTGAGGGCCTTTGCACTGCCACTTCATCTTTTTCCATGCTGTACACAAGATGCTCAGGCTGTGATGCTGCCACACTCAGATGATCCCTGCAACACGCATGGCAAACAGAACTTGAACCTCAAAAGAGTGCACACAGACACCAGCCTTCTCTATTATCGTCCCCTCCTCTCCAAGTCTCTTTCTCTCAGTCTGTATCAGTGCCCTGATCTTGGCTGTTTTTACCCCAAGTCCCCTACAGAGACCCTCCATGGCAGCTGCTACTTCCACAGTGTTTACTCAGGTTCAGTGCTACCCTGGACTGCTTCCTCCTTGGTTCAAAACTATTCTTGGAAGCAAGCTACAATTACTGTCCCTCCCCAATCATCATTATTCCTTTCTTTGACATCAAGGAGAAGAAAGTCACAGGCCAGCTTAGGTGTAGGCACAGCTGTTTTTCCAACCACAGTCATGAGAATGTCCACCTTGCTCAACCTCTGCCCACCAGCAGGTGTCCTTAGTTGTGGCACTTAAAGAAACCTGCACACTCCATCACTGACAGCTCTTCAATGTAGGAAATTAAGTCAATCAATGAATATCAGTAACAAATATGCCTCTTCCTTATGTGTCACAGAAAAACATCTGCAGGTCTTAGAGTCAGGCTGGCTGAACTCAAACCTCACTCCTCAATTTGCTAACTGTGTGATCTTGAACAAGTGACTTTACCTCTATGTGCCTCCGTTCCCTCATCCATAAAATGGGTATCTACTTATAATTGGATTAAAATGAGGACAGGTAAAGTCCTTAGAACAATTTCTGACACACAGTACTGAAAAAAATCCCAGCTATTATTTTTATTATCATTATCATTTGGTCAGCCCAGGATGGCCATGAATGCTCTCAGAGGACCTGAATGCTAGTCAAAACTCAGAAATGCCTGTGAATTATGCATGATCCAAACCCTACACATCCCTGCACACCTTATTGTTTGCAGAGTATTTCCCTATCACTCATCTCACCTTGTCCTTCACGGTACCTGTGAGGGAAAGGGTGAAAATCATCACCCCCATTTTACAGGTGAGAAACCAGGGCTCACTGAAGTCCAGTCCTGGCGTGGCCATGTCACACTGGGAGTCACTCTGCAGTCCAGTAACACCCATTTAGACTCCAGCTCCCTGGCTCCTTGCACGACATGGCAACAAGTAAGCCTTCATCCATGTCCAGGGCTGGGGGGCCTTCCCCTTCCAGAGTGACCTGAAAAGATGGCGCCCACACAGTGGCTGCCTCTGTCTTCTGAGTCTGATGAGGTCTCTCTACTGTGCTGCTCTGGCAAATGTTACTGAGCTCAGCTCTAAATCACCAAGACCTGCCAGGCTTCAATTCCCAGAAGGTCAAAAGAGATGGATTAAAAGCCATCGCTCTGCTGAAGCATCCACCCCACACCCAACACCCACTTCTGCGCCAAATCCTTGCAAGGAGTCTAAGTTCTCAAGTTTGGCGCCTGGAATCTTCCTGCCAGAGGATGATTCCCCTCAGGGCTTTTTAAAACGAAATGTGCCAGTTAATAGAATCAGATTGCCATTCCTTGAAGGGATGCCAGCAAAAAAGAAGGCTCTGTTTACTGCATCAACAGAAACGTTTTAACTTTCAAAGCTCTTTCACAGCTATTTTCTTTTTGAAAAAGTTTATTGCTTTTAAATCCTTTGTGACACAGGCTTAAAACTAAAGTCGATTCCCTCCACCCCCATTAGAACAGTAAAATGATTTCATGTTTGTCTTTGTAAACCTCGGTTTACATGATCATTACAGAACGTGTAGAAGATAGAAAAATAGATGAAAAAAAAAAGAGAGAGTCCCCCTCCTCCCTCATGTCCTACCACAGGCATGTCCTACTGCACAGAGAAAAACTTGATTCATTCTGTAGGGAATTTTAATTCTAGGCTTCATTCTTGGAAAGGCTTTGGTTTCCTCTTTTAAATTTTTTATTAGCATGAATTGTATAAAAGGATTTCATTGTGATATTTACAACATGCATATAATGTACTTTGATCAAATTCACCCCACATCTCTGTTACTTCCTTCACCCTCCTTTTTAACAGTTTTTGGTGGGTTTTGTTATGCTATTTTCATACATATGTGTAATGTACTTTCAATGTTAGCTCCCCCCACCACACTCACTAGTTAAGGCTTTGGTTTTCTTGCTTTACAGGCCTGTGAACGTATTGCAATCCAACTACTGTCTTTCACTTCAAACATTATATTAAGAGCATTTTCAGCATATCAGATAAAACTGCATATTTCCACTAGATGTGGAATTACAATTTGGTACCATCCCCCAACGGTTATTACACAGCTTGCCTATAAACTCTCAGCACTATCACTACTGACCTCATCGCCTTCTAATTTGGTCATCACAGTCCCTATGCAGCCTCTAGGGCAGCCACAATGACCTTCTCTTCTAGACTAGGACAAGACAGACAGACACACACACACACACACACACACACACACACACAGGTCACTTTTCTGGAAGAATATTATCTGTGTCAAGACAAGTAAATCAATGGTACTTGGGCTTTTCCTTCCTTCCTATCTTTCTAACAGCTTCATTAATAAGTTTAAACTCAATCATAGAAAATACAATTAGCCACCAATAACCTTCACAACTGGGACAATCTTATTAGTAAACCTTTCTAAAGTTCTATATTAATTTTTACTATTTTATGCTAATGGACCAACAGAGACTCAGGTCCATTTAAATCTATTAGGCAAGAAGGACTTTGGGGATATGGGAAATTATCTAAAGGAATGCACTAATAGGGGCTCAGGGAGTTGGGCAAAAAGACAAAACATTTTATGAGGCTTGCCAATGTTTTGTAGAGGTTTGAGTGTGAACTTCATCTAAATGATGGTCCTACAAATCCATAGGCAAGCATGGGGTGTGGGAGGTGATGTCCACGTGGCAAACTGAACACCTTCCCTTAACATTCCCCACAAATAAAACTACCACTTTAACTGAGACACTGAGATAAGAAAGCAGAGATGTACACACACAGAATAAGATGCATACACATATGTATCCAGTATATGTACCCTCTATATTGTTTTTAATTCCAAGAATTCTTAGAATTAAACATTCCAAGATATTATTTAGCATTTAGTTGGAACAGTAAAAGCTCTACCCAGAGGACAATTAATAATTTGCCATGTGTTTCTTCCAAGACTTCTTTTTAAGAAGGATTTTTTTTCTGTTTTCTTTACTGACAGTACTGGGGTTTGAACTCAGGGCCTCATGCTTGCTAGGCAGGTGCTCTACACCTTGAGCCATGCCTCCAGCCCTAAAATAGAAAGATTTTTAAGCAAACTTTTTATTATTTTAAAATTAAAAAAAGGAGAAAATAAACTATCCCCTCAAAAAAAAGGAATTAATAAAAACAAAATCTGTAACTAATAAATTATAGCACAAAGAATAATTAAAAGCATAAATTAAAAAGCTGGTCCTTTGGTATTTTGGAAGAAAAATAAAGCATAAGATGGGTAAATCTTTCATAAGGTTGATTTAGAAAAAAATGGTGAGAGAAGAATAAGACATTAGAAATTAAAAGGATAAAGAAGAAGTTTAAATAATCGATTATAAGAGAATTCCATATGCAACTCTATGGCAAAAGTTAGAAAACCCTCCAGGAAATGATCAGTGTGAATAACCAAAAGTAATCAGACACATTGAATAGAAAAAAAGGAGCCACTTTTGAAAAAGGTAACAAGACCAGATTTACTTAGCTGAGCTCTATCCAACTTTTAAACTAATTCAGACCTTTGAAATATCTTGCAAATCTCCACTTCATTTTAGAAAAACAGTACTGCTTTAAAACTAAAATTCAATGAAGACATATTTTTAAAAATTAAACATGATCAAAACACATAAATGACTATGCAGCAGCTAAGCAAAAACGTGGAGTTGGGGATATGGGAGGTTGTGGTAAAAAACAGAAATCTCTGTACAATTAGAATAACCTTCGTGCAATTATATAAAATTATGTTTGTATCATACAATAGTAACTTTTAAACATTACACAAGTTATTAAGTAATAAAAATTTATAAAATCCATGAGTGCCAACGTAAGCACACACAGGCATATGCCAAACCCACACAACACATAAGTAGATCGCGTAAGGCTTTTCACTGTACGTAAGGACCAAATAATATGATCCTAGCCCAAACTCTGGACTCTTAATGCCTCCCAAAGGTTATCACATACAACTCCAGCCCAGAGGTATTCACGCTGTTTCAGGATAGTTAGAGTATTCTGTAATGTTGAAAAGAAAAAAATTCTACTAGACTAGGGACATCCAGACAAGCTGACATTCTCTAAAACTGACAATAAGTGAAGGTAACCATGTCCAGACATCTGTTCCAATAAGTGCATTTGAGGGGAAAAAACAGTTCTCTACTCAAAACAGTTTAAGAAATCTCTTCTGGGAGATTTAAGCACAACAAAGGCCCTGAAAAGTCTTGTAGTAAACAAAAGTTCTTTTTAACCCAGAAAAGCCCCAAAGGAGTTGAAGGTGAATCTCTTTGTTCTTTCTTGTGTGATACCAGTTCCATGCCAAGAAGCACTGCTCTGAAGAACACCGTGAGAGATTTCTACTTAGATCATTTCCAAGTCAAAGTCATTGCCCTTGAGCAATATCAAACACTGAGAAAAAGAAAAGCCCAAAGGGTGGAGGGAGGACTTGGTCTGTTGTGGAATCCGTTCTTTCAGCTGACTGAGCTCTCCTGTTGACTGTTTTTCATAGTATATCTTGTCAGGCTTACTCATCACTAGGAATGCATTGGGTGAGCACTGAGGCAACGGAAGGACCAACGTAGACCTCTTCTGGGAGCACTAAGTTACTTCAGGTAAGATGATAATACCAATTCTTGATTGTTTTCCCCTCTGACTGGAGACCCACAAGAAACATGGTCTACACACAAGAAAAAGGCTGTGTGATGCTACGTGGATGTTGAAGGATTAGCAAGTAGACTTGTGGGTCAAGGAAACAAGACATGTTGCTAACATTAAAACAAATATTACTCACTTTTTTTGACACCAGTCTTGCCATGTAGTCAAGGTTCGCCTGGAACTTGCCATTCTCCTGCCTCCACCCCCTACCTCAGTGCTGGAATTACAGGCGTGTACCACCATATGGACTTTAATTCCATATCAACTGATGACTGATTTGGCGCTAGTTTTACTACAGAAGCCTAACTCCATTAATACGAATAACACTATTTCAGGATGTATTAATTCAAGTTCTTATAAAAAGAAATTAAGGTCACTTTATTAGGACTAAATAATTATTAAACTGCCTCTAAGATAAAAAAACAAAGAAAATGTTATTTTAAGAAATTTTTAAGACCATTAGAAGCATCCAAACTCAAAAAGATAACTGATACATTCATAGCAAATAACTTTTATAGTTTATTTGCCATAAATGGTTACATATGTGGTGGTCATATCAATACAACATTTATTTTCAAAACTCTGTAAGTTAGACATTTCAAGTAACTGAGGCTACATTTTCTCTCCTTTAGTATAAACTAGCAAAATCTATCTATTCTATATTAAAGTTAAATGTACTCTATCAACAGAAGTTCCATTTTTATCTCCCAAAGTTTCAGCTTACCTAATAATAATGAAATCATTAGACATGGTCAGAACAGACAATCCAATCCATTGGTAACGGATTTTCCTTTAAGATTCCAGGCTCCTTCAGGAGCTTCCAATCTGTGACTAGCAACTGAGTCCCAATCTGTCTGCCAGATGGAGGGGTGGCCACAAAGAAGGAACTGGAATGCCAGTGCTTTTACTACTTAGCTTAACCACCACAGGTGCCACCCTTCTCAAGGAAAAGCCTAGACCATTTGGTGGAGTCTAGGAGATGCCCATGTGTCTGCTTCACTGCTGCGACCTGAAAGACGAGGGTCCACAGTCAAAGCCTTCTGCCACCTACATGAACTTATCCCTTCCACAACAAACCTGCAGAGCTCCTTCCTCATGCCAGATGCTAATACTTACTGAGTGTTTCCTACAGCCCAGCATTTCTGTTTACAAGTGTGGACACATTAAAGGCTCACAACAACACTATCAAGAAGGTGCTAATTCTTGTTCTCATTTTT